ATTATGCTGTAAGTTTTACTTCATGCGATGCGTAAAAAATCCGGATAATCGGTGACATGGCTGATCTGTATTTAACAGTTTTAAAAATTTTTTGCACTATATGTGATTGGGGACAATGGCGAAAGGGGTTAGTAGTTTGTTTTACACTTTAGAGGTGTAAAGTTCAAACCTCACGCGCGTCAACTGTTGATTCCCTTGAATGACCTTAAACCCATGTACTTCATTCATTACAACCAGCCGAAAACAAATGGCAGAACATTGATTTGCGAATAATAGGGATAATACTATGTTTTGCTGTGGAGTTGACAATGTTTGTCAGACCTTCTACCATGATGTGGGATGCCTTGATCCACCTGAATGCTGAATATGAATACGCACATGATATAAAAGTAAATTTATAACAATTTAATTTACATTTTATGAAACGATGATGACTCAGCGAAAATTACCTGGACCTATTGTCTCAAAATCTGTTTGTAATCGAAATGCAGCATGAATTTTTCTAATTATTTGGCCTTTTTCTTGGGCAGAAAATTTGTCTCGCGGTTGTGCAATTCAGTTGCCTAGGACCAATTGGGACTACTTGACATTCTGATGCGATCAGTCGATGTAGCTCCAGATTCGCAATGATAACGTCGCTGGTTTTAATCCTACTTCAGATACTTGCTCTAACGTCCTTCCGATTTTACTGAAACCGAAGGTGTTCAGTTGGTAGAGAGTCAGACTGAAAATCGATAGATACTGGGTTCCAGCCGCGGTTGTGTCACTCGCCTTTTTTCGTTCTGAGTTTCATAAATGAGTTTCACTGTTTGCAAAATAGCGAGAAACCACGCAGTATTCATGCCATGTTTCTGCTGTCAGCTATGCCTTTAAAGAATAAGGTCTACGGCATGGTAAAGAATATCAACTGTGCTTCACCTGTACTCCGCAAAAGAACATCTATAGTGAAAGTATAATACAGATGTCAACGTATTTACAAACTTTCCGTTTTCCTGTTGGAGTCATGCAACAGCTGGCTATTATACGGCCTCGTTGTTGACTGCATGAACTGTACGGGAGTGAATTTTAACCCTCTTGATAACTCGATTTACCATCATAATTTATTGCCGGTAAATTAATGCAGTAACTAAATTTAAATGTAAATGAATCATTAATATCAAATATGCATAGCTGTTTTCCTTATGTTGCAGAGGGAGGTTGAGACAAGGCTTTCCAGCCTTTGAGAGAGTATGTATTCGCTGAAAATTTACCAGCGGCTTGAATAGGCTTGGTTCAGCAGTAGTATGTTAGACTGTGAAGTAGAATCGTATGATACTTGTGTTGCTGATCGCTGACCGCAACTCCGTGCCATGCAATTTGTTCAGAAATAACAGTGACCTCTGAATTTACTTCCATCGCTTTGCTTTGCTTAGCAGGCGATAATGGGAGCCCTTGTAGCCGAATCGAAGACAGCTGGCGACTGTGGTGGTTGCAGTGGAGGCGCATGGCAGGCAACGCGGGATCAAGAGAGGCAGATCGAGCTGGAGCTGGCCAAAAACCAGCCGTTGGTCAGCGAACAGCAACCCTTGTGGTCGTTAGTCGAAGAGTACTGCTCTGAGCAGGCTGCCGTCTACCGACAGAAGGCAGTGCAGCTGCACCAGAAGTACGCCACTATCCGACGAGTGCGCGGCGACGGTAATTGCTTCTACCGAGCATTCGCTTTCGCGTGCCTAGAAAGGATAGCTTCAGAAAAGGTGATTAACTAATTAAATTTTTCTGTGAGTTTTGCTCTTAGCATGATTTAGGCCAAATTGGATCGCTTCTGCCTTGTTACCGCCAGTTGGAAGGAACGCCTCATAAAGCTGGGATTCAGCGCCATGACTACCGAAGACTTCCATGACACGTTTATGGAACTGTTGTCTGAAGTGGACAAGGGTATGACGATGGAAGAGCTGATCGCTCGTTTTAACGTCCAGTGCAATTCTGACTACGTGGTGGCTTTCATGCGCCTTGTCACCGCCGGCTACTTGCTGGAAAACAGTGACTCGTTTCAAGCCTTCATCGATGGCGACCGTTCACTCAAAGACTATTGCGAACAGGAAGTGGAACCTATGGGACGCAAGTGCGACCACGTTTGCATCGCTGCCTTGACCAAAGCTTTGGGTAAGTTATAGTAAAATTACGCGGCAGAGCGTTTATTTTATCTTGTCGTGCTTTGCGGTGCTGTCCTTATGAGTGAGGGACACCTGAGCTGCTAACATTTCGAATCTAACAGATCTTGGCACCTCTTCTGTTGAAGCTTTGTTAGCCGCATATGGTCAGTATTCTACAGTATACATGTTCGCATACAATAACTTTGGTAATCGTACGAGAGACCGTGGTAAGCTTCTGTTTGAACTAATTTTTTGAAATGGTCATTTTATATTCTGTTTGTCGAAGATTTTCTGCTTATAAATTTACCCTCGTTACGAAGAGTGGGCAGCGATTTTAGTATTCGCCAGAAAGGTACCGTGAAAGGCATTTTCCTTATCCGAAAATCCACAGTTGTGAAGGAGGGGTGGGGTAAGGTCATACGAGGCCGTAGTAATCAGCATCTTTAATAAACCTATTATGGTTCTAAAACAAAATCAGATTTGTCAAGGAGGACAGTACAGCGACATATCCAAGTGAAAAGATTGGTGATCGCCGATTTTATTTGCCCTAAATAGCATGGTGCAGTTTTTATCACGCTTTACACCCCTTGAACGGAAGATGTCTACTGTTAGATAAGGTGGACAGGAGATCCCAAAAGTAGTTGGTTGTAGACTGTACATAGAATTAAAAAGTACATGATGCCACTCAACTTCTCTTAGGCAGCGTCGTGGCACAGTGCATAAGAATTCGACGTTGTACTCCGAAAGTGCCAGATTCGATTTCGGCAGAGGGCAAAGTTTGTCTTAACCGTGTCCCTTAAGCAAGGAATTTACCACAAGTTGCTTCAGTTCTGGATTGCTCAGTCAGTAGAGCTTCGGACTCAGAGCTGAGGAGTCGTGGGTTCGAGCCCCATTCCTGGCCACTCGCCTTTCTTTTTTAGAAGGTTGGTAAACGAGTACCACTAAACAGGAGGCTACACACTATGCTTGCCGCATAGCTGCTGTCGACTCTGCCTTTAAAATAAGACATTTTTGGCTAGTGACATGGAACTGGGAATAAGCGTTCCGTCATTAACTTCATGAAAAGAGGGGCGCGAGAAATGGTGTCGTCATGAAACTACAAAGAAAACCGAAATTCCAACCGTTGCAGACTTTCCTTTATCTATTCTCTTGGGTAGCTAAGACCTGAGAATTAGTAAGGTAATTAACAGTGTCCAAGCTTTGTACAATCATATTATCATCTTTCTGAGCAAAAGGGAACATTTTTCATTTTCCGAACTCATGGTTGCTGGTACTGCATATATTCTTCCAAATGATGGAATGTTTGCTTGAGTTCTAGTGTATTTGAACAAATTGAATCACTTGTGTTCCTGTTAGTCGATAAACAGTGCGGGACATATTTTCATCATGATAAAATAATCGTTGGCAGTAGGCGATGGATGATTCAAGACTTTGTTTTAATACCAGTCTTTATTAATGCTAAACAAACCAGTGATCATCGGGACAAGCTGGGAAGAAGAATAACGCGAAATATTAGTAGCATCTCTTTCACTACTCCGGAAATAGATTTGTCATGCCGTTTACACTCTGAGCAGAGAATAATGGACTCGTCGCAGAAAATCAGAGGGACGATTCCTAAAAATTATGAACGACAGCGGACTGCGTGCTGTCACCTATCCTGTTTGTGTTGTACATGGACAGAAGAGTCAGGAGCTGCCAAGGCGATGAGTGTAATGCTGTAAATGAGGTGAAGACGAGAAGGTTGCTGTTTGCGTACGACCTTGTTTTTTAGCATCTTCTAAAACTGATCTCCAGTGCTCCCTAGAAAGGTTCGCAGCCGAGTGCGACGTGACCGGCATGCGGGTGAACGCATCTAAAACGAAAAGCCTAGT